AATATTCATACATCTTGGGAAAAAGTGGGTCGACCGAGGACCCGGCCCGTCTCGAGGTTGTACACGTCGCCCCGTTTATTACGTTTCGTGCGTCTCGTAGAGTTTTATTAAGAGCCGCTGATGAAATTCTGGCGACGTTATCGCCACCGCCAGTTTCCTTTTCCCAACGGTAACAGGGCCAATCCGCTTGTCGTTTATTCCGGCGAGCTCTTCTACAGGTGTGCGCGGGCTATTTCTCTCGAGATCTCGCGGCGAAAAAATTAAGGAGGACATTATCGTACGGTACGTGGTAACTTGGACAGATTTGTAGGTTAGGTTCGGTGACCCCTACGGGCTACGAGCAAGCTGTGCGATCTTCGATCTTTGCGTAATTTCAGTGAATCTTTTGTATCGTTCCGATAGAGAGTACGTGCCTTCTCTTATATTTTTCTTTTTTTATATTTTTCACGGAAATTTGACGGATCCATTGGGCTACTCCTTTATCTTTACATTTTTCGTGAATCGTTTGTATCGTTCCAATAGACGAGAGTACGTGCCTTCTCTTATATTTTTCCCGCCAAATAATTCGACGGAAATTTGACGAAAATTTGACGGATCCTTTAGACTACTCCATGAAGCTACGCGATCTTCAATCTTTACATTTTTCGCGATCGTTCGTATCGTTCCGATAGAAGACTCAGAGTGTTTTCCTGATATTTTTTCCGGCGAATAATCTGCACACCTCTATCGCGCCCGCTCTCCGCTGATGGTTGTTATGCTAACGAGCTTTAGCCGACAGGGGAGCCATCTTCATTTTCCTGACACGTCATAACCGACGCGTCTAATCCGCCTTGCCCCCTGGTGATCCCAACAAACTGACGTAAGTCGCGTCATTTGTGAAGATTCCGAGGGATCGTTAACTTAATATTTGTGCAGGAAGTCTCGAGAGAGGCAGGGAAGGGGGAATCCCCGGGTCGAGCACTCGGAGGCGATCGAATCTGAACTCGTTTTTTCTTCTTTCGATCTCCTCCCCGGTTCGTATACATACAGGGTGACTCGCGACACACGGAACATTTTCTAGCTTCTCGCATTCTGTCTTTTAGTATCTAAAGAACATTTCTGTACAAATGTCTCGACGAACTCAACCCCGCTACTCCTATTTTTTCTTTTAAAAAGGACTAAATCGACCCTGCGAGCAGACTTGGTTCAGCACTGTCAAACCGTAACCATCAAAGTTAGATCTTAATCGTATACACAGTGTAAAAGGCGACCTCGCCACACGTCGAAAACCTTTATGATAAAACCTCCCTTGAAATAACTGAGTGCTGCACTCATTTCCACGACTGGGAATACAACGAAACATAACCTCACTTCGATTCGGCGGACGTCTCAAATTTCGCAAGATCAACGCGTTCCTCGAGTCACGCCCGCATATTAAGAAGGCCTACGGGCAAGATCCAAAACAGGATTTAGACCGCTGAAACGGAACACCCTGTACAATCATCCTTTGTATCTATCCTAGCGGAAAACGAGGTACAAAGCTGCCGTTCGCTTTGATCAGGCAACGCATCCTCGAGTTCGGCAGCTCGTTCTTTTTCCGCGTCCTCCTTTGCCCCCTTTCCTGAACAAGAGGGAGCCACGCGAATGCGGATACCGATACACCGCGGACGGGGGCCAGGGATTCCCCCGCGTGCCACCGTGCAAGAGGAGGTTAGGTAAGGAGTGCGTACGGGTTAACCCATTCGAGACCGATTGCACACCGTGTGTGCAATAATTACAACGAGCGTTTATCAGTTATTCTGAGTAAAGTAGTCGTCGAGATAAGACTTTTTTTGAATTAACAGTATCTGTAAAGTATAGAAAAACAAACATACTCATCAACAATAAGAAAATTGAGTCTTTATGACTATCGTCTAGAGATTTAAAGAAAAAATTGGAAAACCTTGTGACAGAATTTCGCTCCTGGGGACCGTGTTCGAAAAAAATCGCCGTCTCGAATGGGTTAATCATTTAACTGTGTTTGACGAGTATACTCGTCATGGAGAAGTTGCAGGATTTTGTGTTGTAACGGGTATACTCGTCGTGGTAAAAAGTAGTGGCCATTGGCTTTTCGCAGAAATTACAATTTAAATAGTCAATGGTCATTACTTTTTACCATGACGAGTATACTCGTTATTTACTTTCTCTACTGAGATCCTGTAACATTTTACTATCAACAGCTTCGAAGAAAACCAACAAAATTGTCCATTCTATTTCAAGCGGAAGTTTTATTTCAATATACTACATTGATCACAGCAAAATAGTTGCTTTGATCCATGGGCATTGAACAACATTGATTGTTCGATCAGTCGTCATTGTACGGCAAGGGGTTAAGAAAGGGCAATCGCAATGATACACACACACACTAGACCGGTGTATTGTACAAAGCGGACTCGAAAAGTTACGAAAAGAGCGGGGGCGGTAGAAGGGGGCAAAGGGAAAAAAGGGAAGAAAGCGGGGAGAGTTTCGCGCACAGCGAAGATTTACGCCCGGCCCGTCTGTAATTTAATACAGGATACTTTGCCGGAGTTCCTTCGAGAGTTACCTGTTCTTTGGGGCGTTCGCGGAACGTGAGCGGACTTTGTGTCTCGGCATATCGCGAAGAAAGAAATAAAAACGCTGGGTTATGAAGCGAGAGAGGGAGAGAAAGAGAAGAGAAGAGAAGAGAAGAGAAGAGTGAGGAACGATTCGCCGATGGGTGTGAAACAAAAAGGAGAATCGAGGTTCAATGTCGTTACTCACCGGTCTCCTCGATTCGAACATCTAATTACGCAATGAAAGAGGCCGTCCACGTACCGCGGGGTTCAATGAAAAATTCAATATGGAACTCCGAGCGGAACTTCGCGTTTCTCTTCTTCCTCTTCTGCAAATTATTATTACAGGTTCCTCCTGTCTACTCCTCCCCCGTCATCCTCCCCCGTCATCCTCCCCCGGCGAACCTCTCTATCCGTAAGCCTCCTCAGCGACCGTGATTTATAGCCGGGCACATGTAACGCGCATCGGCTGAATAATTTTCCAAAGGGGCTGATGTACGATACTTTCCCATTCTCATCGATCTCCAAGTGTCAAACTGGTATTAGAATCGGCCGAGTGGCGTACGGTGTCTTATCGAGTTCCTGATAGAGGATCGAACTCCTCTTACCTCGCCCAACCCCTTCGCGGATCATTCTCCGCCTCGTCGACGAGCTCCAGACAGCGAGGAATTAAAAGACGGATGACGAAGCGTCGGGATTTTTTCCCTGTTGCTCGCGTTTCCACCGCGGCAGCTTAAAGGTTGCGCTACTCGTTCGTAGAATTTTCTTTTACTCTACTCGAAGAGACGGTTATTTTCATGGTGGC